GGCTAGGCAATGGAGTTAAGTGACCTGCCCAGGGTCACACAGCTAGTAAGTGTTATGTGTCTGAGGCCGGCTTTGAACTCAAGTCCTCCTGAATCCAGGGCCTGTGCTCTATCCACTGTGCTACCTAGCTGCCCCTAATGTGACACTTTTTGACCTGCTCTTGAGATTCTCATCATGAGAATGAATATAATGTATAGGCAGCTAGGTGGTATAGTAGATAAAGAGCTGGGACCACATTAGGAAAATCTGAGTTCAGCTCCAGCCTCACACACTTGCTAGCTGGGCGAATCACTCAAACTCCACCTGCCTCAGTTTCCTAAACTGGAAAATGGGGATAATAATAGTTGTTTTGAGGAACAAGTGAGAAAGTATTTATAAAACTCTTGGCACAGCACCTAGCACATAGTAAACACTTAATAAATGCTTATTCTCTTCTTTTCTCAGAACCACACTTCTGGGGTTGCTTGGACTGCATTCATTTTCTCAGAAACGTCTCTTTGTCTCAGGACCATATCTGGAGAACATCAGAATGTAGCTCTCATTTAGATCTCAACAGAAAAGAGAAAAGGTTCACAGCTCCTTTGAAAGCTCTTAAGCTAACAATACAGTTTCTATACACCAGGCCTTCTTTAACCCAACTGAGACACAAAATAGAAAGGATACATCCAAGCCTATGAAAATAGGGAACACAATTCTCTTTTCTTCTTCAGTGAGTTTTTCCCATGCCTGGGCCTTATATACTCCTTTAAATATATAGTACTACTCTAGAATTGAGTTCCTTGGAAAAAGAGGAAAGTATGAGGATTCTAAAGGGTTAAATGTCCTCCTTCCATAGTTAAATTCTAATTTTATTCTATTGTCAAAGTGAACCTCTATGGTTGCTACTCTCTATATATTTTGTTTGTACATGTCTCCCCATTAAAATGTTAAGTGACTTAAATGCAGGAACTATTTCTGCTTTTCTTTGTATCCCCAATGCTTAGCACAGTGACTGGCACATAGTAGGTTCTTGATTGACTGATTAACCAAGACCATGAATGGAATGAGCAAAACCACTCAGTTCTGCACTTTCTGGGGCCATGCATCTTTATCTTTACCTGGGCCATTTTCTACTCTGCTGCCTCACTGCCCCCTTCCACCTCTTAGTCTGACAACTGACATCAAATAAATATTATCATTGCCTCTTGAAAGGGCATGTAATTGGACTGCCCAATTGTTCCTCTTGCAATGTTTGTGTAACCCCTTCCTCTGGACCCCACAAACCTATATGGGTTGTCCCTATTAGAATACAACTTCCTTGAGGATAGGGACCGTTATGCATTTTTATTTCCTAATCTTAGCGGTGCTTAGTGTATTAATGTGTTTTTTCATTGACTCATTCAAAATACTCAGATAATTAATGGACTGTGTGCTCTCATTGACTTGGAAGTCCCAGTGACATAGATTATAATGTACCCATACTTGACCATCATATGTGATTCTTGTCATGTCCTCCTATATGTTTGCCAGAGGCCCAGTGAAGGTACTCAAGGCCTTCCTTGTTTACTCAGGATATCAAGATGGTGCACCAGTGGAACATTTCTGTCTCTTATCCTTTATCTTACCACGTGACCATCCCTTCTTCTTTTCCTGCCATACAATCCACGATATGACCTGTTTTGTTCCTGTTTTTCTTTGTACTTCCTCATTGGTTATATACTGTAGCCTCCTCACACTCACCATGCCCATGAATATATAATTTATGCACTCCTTAGATGAGCAACACCTCCTACAGCGACTTAAAAGGTCCCATGGACTCTCCTTGGAGAGATAACAAAGAAGTTGGTAGAGGTGGCTTTGTTGTATGCCCCAAAAGAATAGTAACTGGCATTTCATGGGATACTTGATTACACTGTCTTATAGGACCAAACCTAAGTTCTCCACCAGTGGGAAACACTTGGGTTGTTAGACAGGTCAAGCAAGCTTCCCCCTAACTGATCCCATAAATAGTCCTTCTCACTTAGTACTACTCTGGATAGACTCCCTTCCCCAAGGGAAAAGCCATAAAGTCACTGGAGATTTGACACCCCCCCCCCCCCCGGTAAATCCTATCTCCCCAAGTACTTCATACATTCCTTTCACTATCCTCCCAGTAATACTACATTGGTCCCTAGGGATGGTGATGCTATTCTGAGGAAGGTAGAAATTAACCTTATTTTCAGATTATGATTCAATTTTTTGAAAATTTACTAATTAATGGGGCAGTTAGGTGGCGCAGTGGATAGAGCACCGGCCCTGAAGTCAGGAGGACCTGAGTTCAAATGTGGCCTCAAACCAAACACTTGACTAGCTGTGTGACCCCGGTCAAGTCATTTAACCCCAATTGCCTAAACACACACACACACACACACACACACACACACACACACACACACACACACAAGAAAATTTACTAATTAACAATAACGAGCAAAAAGCTAAAAAGTACACAGAAACTAAAAAACAGCATATTAAACAATGACTAGGTTAAAGAAGAAATGAGAAAAATAACAGAATATTTAAGTGGCAGTGACAAAGAGAATCCTACATATCAAAATCAATGAAATACAACCAAAGTAGTTTCTTAGAGGCAAAAATTATATAACTGACTGCATATGCTAATGAGAGAAAGTGAGAAAATAAATGAATTAAGCCTGGACCTAAAGGCAATAGAAAAGTAGCAAAATAGTAGTACAAAGGAAAATGGAAAAAAAGGACAATTACAAAGTTAACAGCAGGAGTAAATGGATAGGAAATGAAAGAACATTTGAATTGATAAATAAAACCAAGAGGTGGTTCTTTTTTTTAAGAACACCAAGAAAATGAATAAACCATTAGTAAATATAATTTTTTAAAAGGAGAAAAAGCCCACAAATCATCAAAACTGCAAAAAAAAGTGATCATAACACAAGAAATTAAGAATATTATTAGGGGAAAACAATATGGTTTAGTAGCTAAAGAGTTGGCCTCCAAGGCATGAAAACCTGGAAAAAATCACCTCTGATAGTTACTGGCTCTTTGACTAGGGGCAAATTACCTAACCTCTCAATGCTTCAGGCAATTCTCTTAGACCATAGGAGTAGGAGCAAGTCTACATTTGTAGAAGAAGATATTTTCTCACCAAGATTTCCCTGTGCCAATAAAATCATAAGTCTAGTCTGAAATAGAAAATATTATTAGCAGCTTTAGTCTAACAAAATAGAGAATTTAAAGAAAATAGATTACTAGCTACAGAAATATAAACAACCCAAATGGACACAAGAGAGTAAATGGGCCAGTCATGGAGAAATAAGAGACGTCATCAAAGAATTAACCACACCCCCAAAATTTCACCAGGTGGATCACAGGTGCATTCTTTTAAGCATTCCAATAACAAATAATCTCTGTGTTACATACATTATTCATAAACAATGAAAAATTAGAGAATCTTACCTAGTAATTTTTATGAGGCAAATGAAGTATTGATTTTAAAAACTGGCAAAGATAACACTCAAAAAGAAAATTATATGCCAGTTGCAGTAATGAATATAGATGAAAGAATACTAAATCAAATATTAGCTAACAGAATAAATCAATAAATTAAAAATAATTGGGCACTTAATATATGCTTGTAGATTGATTACCAAGCAGATTTCATACTGGGTATGAGGGTCTGGTTCAATAGCTGAAAAACCATTGGCAAAATAAAATATGTATTTTATTTTATAAAAAAACTCAAATCTCTAACATGATTATATGAATTAGTACATGCAGAAAGCCCTTGTATAAAATAAATATTTATTCATTACAAAAATCATTAAAAAGAATAGAAGGATTTTTCATGACCAATCAATCAATAACATTTATTAAACTCTTAATATAATATAACCCAAGAATGATGCTATATGCTGGGGACACAAATAAAAAAAATTTCCTTCCCTCAAGTAGCTTACATTCTAATAGGGATGACAACATGTTCATAAAGGGGTACGTAAGATACATGTGAAGTACATGAAAGGTAATTTAAAGGAGAAGGTACTCATACCTGAGAAGACGTAGAATGGCTATAGAAGGTAGTATTTGAACAGTCTTGAAGGAAGAGAGGGATTTTTAGAAATGGCAGTGTGAGGAGTGAGGTCATTCTAATCATGGGGGACAGCCATTGCAAAATTGCAAAAACAGGAAATGGCAATGTCATGTGTGAAGAGCAACAAGTAGAACAGTGTAGACAGATTATGGTAGGGATTAATGTGGTAATATGGTAGGAATGATAATGAGGGCAGACAATCAGATTGTGATGGGTGTTAAAGGCCTTACAAAAGAATTTGTATTTTATTCTAGAGGTAATGGGAGCCACTGAAATTTTTTTTTAATATTCATACACAAAAGGGGTAGCACTTTACATCCTTTTAAGGTGATTTTAACCTTTTTATTTATGCCACGGTTCATTTTCTACCCCTTTTGGCCAACAAACTATTCCAAGCTCATCTGAAAACTGTTTCTTTACACATAGATTTTAAGTAGTTTTCTTTAATTAAACCAAAGTTCTTTTCCTGATCCTTTTAACCACTTGCTATTCTTCCACGGAAGCAATATTACCTTACATCCTTCACCTAATCACTTCTTGCAGGGGGGATATAGCAGTAGTCTTCTTTAGAAAAATTTCCAGCACTTGGCACAGTACCTAGTACATTGTAAGTGTTTAATAAATATTTATTGACTGACTGACTGACTGACTGGTTAGTAGAGAACTGGTTGGGCATGTTTGTATTGCCCAGAGGGAAGCAGCTTGATGAGCCTTGTAGTTTTCTGGCTTAAAGAAGAGAAGAGATATGGTACAGCAGGACAACAGTGAGGATAGAAGAGGAGAAGTTAATAGAGAGGTAGATTTGTAATAGTACATGTGTTTGTTCCTAAATGAACCTGTGACATCAAGGCTTTCTAGGTCTTAATGAATCACCTCAAGTACATATTTTCTCCTAACCCATGTGCTTCCTTGTCAGGTTTCTTTGGGTCTACTTTCTACCCACCACAGATACTGAGTACATTGGGAGAGGGTGTGAAACAGCCTTACGTATAGACTCTGATCTTTTTCTTATTCCTGCATTTGCCATATGTGAGTATGATGTTACTATCGTTTTCACCTTGTTAAGTAAATTGTTATGTTTAAGTTCTAATGTGTTAACATTGTGAGTGGCTGTGTTGCATAAATGGAAGCACACTAGCGGGTGCTATAGTAGGGAATAAGGAGAATATATCTCCCCACAATAAGGTTGCCCCTTAAAGCCCCAAAGAATTTGAGTGTAGCTATATGGCAATAGTCCTTCTCTGGGAAACTACACCTGGCCATGTGAGAAGAGACTGGAGTGAGTGAGCCAGATTAGAAAATTAATATGCGGATCCATCCTAGAGGTACCTCATCACAGGTATTCCATAAGTAATATCAAGAGATCTATAGAAAGATCTGTGGCATGTTGAGTAGACCTCCTCTGGACAAATTATGGGAGGACATGTACAAGAGTAACAGGATGAGCAGTTGAGGATGAGTTATGAATTGTACCATTGGAGGGAGAGAGTACCCAAATAATAACCACAGATTCACCAAAGCAAAGCTGTCAGTAGAAAAGCTTATTGTGCATCCTAACAGATACCATACAGGCCTAATATCATTCATAAGACAAAATTTTAAGAAAATTCAAAGTCACTCAAGTACGCAACATATATTTGGTACCAGTATAAGTCTATACAGTCATGTAATATAGTGGAAAGGGTACTGAATTTGTCAAAAGATGCTGGTTCGAGACCCAGCTCTTGTCACTTAACTAGCTGGTTAACTGTGGGCAAGTCAGCAAATCACTTTGAATCATAGTTTCTTCAAATGATAATACTTGCACACTATTTACCTTTGTAAGGTTGTTTTGAGTTTCATCAACTATAAAGGGTTACATAAATGTAGGGCTACATACTGTAATACTGTATACAAGGACTGTCCCCATGGTCCTTATTTTTAGCTCTAGTGTACAGTATAGTCCCTTGAAATTAATGTGGCTTCTGAAGGTGTAGTAGCATGATAAGCTGTTCTGGCACTTGGGCATTCTGTCAACAATCCACATTGCAAGCCTGTATGTGATTAGTGTAGTGTTGCCTCAACAGTCTCTGCTTTGAATAAAAACCCCTAACTGCTCAGCTGTTTAATAACCCAGATTAATGTGCCAGTAAACCCCGCTAAAATCATATTTATTTAGTAGGTCATAACCACTCCACAGGAACCATTACAATCTCTCATGACATTGTCAGTAATCAGCATTTTAAAAACTCCCCTAAATATGCCATCACTGAACAAAATGCATTGGAGTTATTATGGGCTCCCAGGTTAGTAATCTGCATTTTGAAAAGCTCCAGAAGAGTTATTTGCCTAATCCACATTCTGGGGGAGCATGTAAACACAGAAGCCATAAAAGTAACTCTGTTGGGAAGCTGGGGAGTGGAGTGGAGTAGGGTCTACCCAGATGTCAGCACAGCTGGCTGTGGTTTCGTAGATGCACGCCATAGGTAAGTTTATCTCCTGCCTCCTCAGCTTTACCCCTAGGACCCTTTCTCTGGGTGGAGTGGGAGAAACAGGAAGATAAGTAAGACAACAAAGATCTCATAAGAGCCTATTATATGTTAGGTACTATCTAAGCATCAGAGATACAAAGGAAGGCAGAAGACAGCTCCTTCTTTCAAGGAATTCATAGTCTAATGGAGATAACTTGGTAACAATTGTGTATAAAGAAAATATATACAGGATAAATTGCAAAAAATCAACAGAAGGCACTAGCATTAAGGGGGAGAGGCTTCTAGTAAAAGGTGGAATTTTATCAAGATTTGAAGGAAGCTAGGAGTCAGAGATGAGGATTCCAGGAATGGGGGACAGCCAGTGATAATATGGAATTGGGAGATAAGAGTGTCTTACATGAGGAATAATAAAGAGGCCAGTGTTACTGGGTGGCAGAGTGTGTATGGAGGAGTAAGGTTTAAGAAGACTAGAAAGGTAGGGGGAGGGAGAAGAGGTTGTTTGTCCTTTGTTTCTGAAGAAGGCCAATGACATTACGGGGTGATATCTTGCATGTCAAGGGAGGAGGTTATGAATATTTGAACGCTAAACAGAATTTAATATGTAATCCAGGCGGCAATAGGGAGCCAGTGGAGTTTATTGAATGGGGATATGGAGGGCTGATGTGTTCAGACCTGTGCTTTAGGAGGATCCCTGAATGGAGAATGGACTGGAGTCAGACGAGACCTCAAACAGGGAGGCTAACCATCAGACTATTACAGTAGTCCAGGTGTGAGGTGATGAAGGCTTATACCAAGTTTGTAACAGTGTCAGAGGGGTGAAGTGGGCCCATAGAAGAGATGTTACAAAGGTAAAATAAACAGAACTTGGCAAGAGATTGGGTATGGGAGGTGAGAGAGAGAATGTGAGGAGTTGAAAATGATGCCTAGGTTTCAAACCTGGGCTGTTGGGAGGATGGTGGAACTCATTCCCCCTGCTCCCTTCCTCGCCTGCCCCAGCAGGAAGAGGTAGGTTTGGGGGTAAGGGGAAGATAATGAGTTCAGGTTTGGACATGTTAAGTTTAAGATGTCTATGTGACATTGAGTTTAATATGTCTAATAGGCATGTAACAGTTAAAAATGAGGTAGATTGAAGTACAGGGTTCCAAGCATGATCAATTAGTTAAGCTTGAATTTATCAATAAATAGGATCTCAGTTTCCCCAGCTAAGCTAAGACCTCAAATGAGAGGACCAGCTGTCTTTCATCATTTTGGGAAGTACGGAGAAAAGAACAGAATTTTCTCAGTGAACTAAATATTAAAACCACTAGTGGCTAGAAGAATGCATATCCCTAATCTCTTCTCTTTCAACAGCCTTTAGGGAAAAAGAAATACTGTTAGGAAATTCTTCTTGCAGCTAACCTAAGTCCTTGATGCTGCAGTTTATTCTTTCTTTTTTTTTTTTAGGCAGTTGGGGTTAAATGTCTTGCCCAGGTCACAAAGCTAGTAAGTGTCAAGTGTTTGGTCTGAGGTCGGATTTGAACTCAGGTCCTCCTGACTTCAGGGCTGGTGCTCTATTCACTACGCCACCTAGCTTCCCCTAACATTGCAGTTTAAATCCATTTCTTTGCCTCTTTTTTTTTTCCTCATGCCCCTCGTTTTCTCCCTCTTCCTATTCCCCTTCCTCCTTCCAAAGTTGGAGAATTCTCTTTTCCATTTTCCCAATCTATCAACTCCTTTTCTTTTTCTTCCTTTCCCTCTTTTTCTTTCTCTTTTTCTTTCTCCTCCTTTTCCTCTTTCTCTTCCTCCTCTTCCTTCTTATTCAAAAGTTAGAGAACTTTCCTCTCCATTTCCCTAGTCTACCAATTATAGTCTGGCCTAATTTCTTTACTTATTCAGTAGTTAACTGCTTCAGTTGTGCTTTCTTCTATGCTCTATGCTTTTTTCTACCATCTACCTCCTATACACTTACTCCTGAGCAGCTCAACACTGTTGAAAGAAATTATGAAACTCATTGACTAGCTCTACAACAAATTCAGAGCTATTTAACCTCAACTAGCTTTTCATTGCTACATTTCATTCCTTTTAATAATAATAATAGTAACTCATAGTGATATAGCACCTAAAGATTTATAAAAACACTTTCCTCAGGTAGATAATTCAAGTATTATTTATTACAGATGAAGAAATTTAGACTCAGAAAAGCTAAGTGTCTTCTTCAAGGTCACCACTAAGTAACTGGAGGAATAGAGTCTTGAAACCAATGTGACTCTAACTTACCTTATCTTCTCCCATTATCTTCTAAACTCTTTGTAATCGGTCTTCTGACTTCATTCAACCAAAGCTATTCACTCCAAAGATGTCATATTCTTTCTTACATAAATTCATTATATTAAAAATATGTTATCATATGTAACATATACATGTTATACTATATGTAATATATATAATAATTATTTATTATATTAAATTATTTTAGTATTTATCATATCCTCAGAATCAAACTGTCAGTCCCTAAGAGTAGGACCTCAGTATCTCCAGCATCTAACATAGGCTTTGCACATAGTAGATGTTTAATAAATGGCTTTTGAAGAATGAAACATATATTTTTGGACACGGCAAATGTGTGAGTTTCTTTGCATTATTTTAGTTATCTATAGCAAGAGCCACCCCATATCCCTTTCTTTTCAGACTTTGCAGACGCTCCCCAAGGGAATATCCATCCTCCTTTATCCAGGGCATGTGTTACTAGAATCTGATAAACCCAGCCCTCTGGTGTACAAGGGTCTGAGTTATTGAAGTAGGGAAGAGGGACTAGGAAAGTGAGAATTTCATTCTGTGAGACCTGTGTTCTGAGAGTCTTTATGCACCGTCACATTTTGTGACGTTAAAGCACAATGACACCTATTAAAAGAGAGGAATGGATTTTCTGATTCAGGTGCCATTTTCAAATAATCTCCCCTCCTCCCTCCCCTCTCCCCAGTGTGTTAAGTGGTGTTCATGTTAGGTCTTTCCAGTGTAAACTCCTAGTATTGCCTGCTGGGGAATGTGCAGGTGAGGAGAGAGTTTACAAATGAATCTCACCCGCTATGAAAATAAACACCCCTGCTTCCTTTTGGAGTTTATTTTTGGCCTAAGTTAGCTTTGGCCAAGCTCCAATTATTTCTTCACTGGTAGGAGATTGTTATCATAGCATGGAATTCTGCCTGTGGAATGTTCCCTTTGCAGCCACAGAGCTGCATTTGCCCTTTGAAAAGACTAGGAGTTGGCCTTTTTTTTTTCAGTTAAACTCAGAGGTTTATGAGGAATTGTGTGTGTGTGTGTGTGTGTGTGTGTGAGTGTGGTAGAAGGAGAGGGAGAGTGAGACAGGCAGACAGTGAGAGCCAGAGTGTGAGAGCACTTGTCTGTTTTGTCTTCATCCTATTCTGTTCTCTCTTAAGAGTCACCTGTTGTGATTTATCCATAACCTGCTGGGACGTGAGGTGCTCTGATCCTGAGGCTTTCTTTTTCTTTCTTTCTTTTTTTGTTCCCACGGAGAAATTATGCTTGGAGTCAGGATATAGGGGCTCAACTTGCTGGAAC